GACACTTACTAACTGTAGGACTGTGGGCAAGTCACTTTACCTCAGTTTCCCTCTGTTTCCTCATCTGGAAAACTGGGATAATAATAGCACTCATCTCCCAGGGTTGTTGAGAGTATCAAATGAGATAATATTTGTAAAACGCTTAGTACAGTGCCTGGGACACAGCAGGCACTTCACAAATGTTACCTATTATTATTATTATTATTGTTATAGTAAGTGCATAATAAATGCTTATTCATGGACTGACTGAAAAATAGCAAAAGGTAGAATTTGTCTCAATTGTAGAGGATGTGAAGGGGAATATTGTATGATAAGGCTAGAAAGTTTTGAACCATGTTATGAAGGGTTTTCAATTCCAGAGGAGTTGTAGTTGATGTGAGTGGTATCAAGGAGCTGGATTGACGTGATCTGACATAGACTCTAGGGATGTCCCTATGGCAGTTCAGTGGATGAGGATGGGCTGGAGAGGGGAAAGACTCGAGGCAGGCAGACCAGGTAGTAGGAGGACCTGGTAGTACTACAAGAAAGAAGGGATGAAGTTGTGTGAGTGGAGAGAGAGTATCATGAGATAGAAACAGAAAAAGAGAGATGATAGACAAGGAAGGAAGGAAAAAGAATGGATACAGAGAGTGAGTTGTGTGTGTGTGTGTGTGTGTGTGTTGGTTGGGGGCAGGTCAGAGTGGGGTCTAAGTTTGGAAAGGTCAAAGGGCACCAGGTTATGTCAGGCTTTAAAAGCCAGAGGGTTTTATATTGATCCCGGGGGCAACAGGGAACCACTGGATGGAGGGAGGTTTGAGTGGGCAGCACCTTCAATGCTGATGCCATACATTTCAGAGGTCTGAGGGTGGGGGCAGGGGAGGGTTGGAACAGCACAGGAGGGCCTGTTCATAATCCCCCTCCATCTAAATTTACCTCTTAGAGATACTTGTAGGTAAACAGGATACTCCTTTAAAATGCAAATATCCCTTTGGCTTGGTGTGCTGGGCTGGGAAACTGGGGAGACCTGAGTTAACCCCCCACACTCCCACAGCCCCAACCATAAGTGTTGTGGGCCAAGGAGCAGTGGAGCTCACCAGGGGCAGTTGGAGTTATCTGCCCCCACTTGGATTAGTCTGGGACACAGCTGGGCCAGAAAGATAGAAAAGGAGTTCCAGGAGGTTCTAGCAGGGACCTGCTGGAACTGAGGGGAGCTTCCTTGTGGATTGCTTTTCCCAATTCCTCATGGATTACTTGAATCTTTGGATCTGTTTTTAAAGTAAAGGTTTACTGGAATCCTTAGGCTCTGTGTGGTCCATTGCCTCCTACTTGGAACCTGGACACAAGGTAAGCCTCATTTACAATTTATTTTCAGTTTCCTTGTTCAGATAATCAGATGTATATCCATCCAGCCCAGTCTTCCTGATCTAATCCTTAAACCTTTGAGGAGTTTCAAATGAAATTTTAAGAGGCACACTTTTCTCTTCCTTCCCATCATTGCTAGTATATATGTGGAATTGTCATTTATTGGGACCTTTAAAAGATATCCCTTCCTTGATCTAAGGACTATATTTAGTCTTATTTTAATAACAGGAAAGAATGTGTGAACTGCACTGGGACTTTTCTAATGAAAACAATAATATGAGATGAGGTGTGCATGAGGCTTTTTATTGTTGGCTTGCTTAACATGCATTTGTGATCCAGAGGCCTTGAAGTTCTAAAGAGATCATTATTAAAACACTTTTGGGGTCTTGTTTTTGCTTCATTTTCAGTGGGGTGGGGTAGAAGAAGAAAAGGCTGATGATTAATTTTTTAAAAAACCTTCCCAGTATTTCCAGTACTTTCATACTCAGTCACCAAGTATCCCTACTATGCATCTTCATCAAATCACCATAAAAATCAGCCTAGCACCTAAAATTTTTCAGTTAATATGGTTTCCTGGGAGTTTTCTTATTGTTTTGGTTTTAAGATTTAACTGTTTAAAGTAGGGAGGTAGAAGTGTAGAGCAAAGGGCACTGGAACAGGAGGCTCAGTCTCACTTGTTTTGTTTCACTGTTGTGAAATCTGGCTTCGCATGCCATGACAAAGTGAGGTGGCTCAGTGGCTAGTGTTGAACTTGGAGTCAGGAGTCTCCCCTGAGTTCAAATCCTACCTCAGACCCTTATTATGGAAGTCATTTATGTGCTCTGGGAAGCTGTTTCCCCATATATGAAATGGGGACACAGCACCCACCACCCAAGCTTTCTAGTGAGGATCCAATGAGATAGTATTGGGTCTGTGTTTTGCAGTCCTTGAAGCACTCCAGGAAAGGGGGCTATCATGATATTTGTTCACTTGAAACTACTCTATCCAAAATTGCCAGTGTTCTCTTAATTGCCAAACCTAATGGCCTTTTCTCCATAGTCTTTGATATTGTTGACCACCCTCTCGAAATGGTTACTCTCTTCTCTTTTTTTCCCCAGGTCAACCACATGGATGTTTTTGAAGGGTCTCTCCTGGGCCTTCTTTTTCTTTTCCCTCTAAACCATCTCACATGGTGATCTCATGAGTGAGCACCTTGGGCCCATTTATATTCCTAATTCTAGGTGCCCTGCCTTGGTGTCTCTCCTGAGCTCCAGTCCCAAATCCCTAACTTTCTTTAGGACATATCAAACTCAGATGTGTCCTAGGCATCTGGAACTCGACAGGTTCAAAGCAGAACTCATCATCAAACTCATCAAACATGTTCCTCTTCTCCACTTTCCTGTTCTTATCAAGGGCACCACCTTCCTCCCAGTCACACAGGCCTCCAACCTCATTGTCACCCTCACTTCCTCTCTTGCAGTCAGCCCACACATCCCAATCTGTTTCCAAGTCCTGTCTTTTCTACCTTCATGACACCTCTCAGGTATACATCCATCCCCTTCTCTGCACTCCCACAGCCACCAATCTCATCCCTTCATCCCATCATCCCAGGATGCTGCAGTAACCTGATGCTTGGTCTCCCAGCCTTAAGCCTCTGTCCATTCCAGTCTGTCCTTCCATCTATCACCTGCCCAAAGGATCATCCTCACTTTCAGGTTGGTCTGTCCAGGTCTCCACCAGCACTTTGAACAGTGCATGTGGGTAGTAAGTATTTAAGAAATGTCTGTTAAAGAAAGGCCCCATATATACCAACACACAGCAGCACCTTGTTGTGGCAACAAGAAAATTGGATGGGATGGGGGAAATAAGACATCCATTGATATAGGAATGGTTGAACAAATTGTGGTGTATGAATGTCAGGAAATACTCCCTGTAAGAACTGATGAATTTAGGAATGCAGAGAGAGAAGCCACCTGATCTGGTGCAGAATGAGAATATCTACCCACCCAATGGCTTGACAAAATGAGTCAAAGCTGAACATTGAGTAGTTATCCTGAAGTAACGATAGAGGCAGCATGGTGAACAGAGGACTAGATTTGAAGTCAAGAAGACCTGGGTTCAGAGTTTACCTTAGACACTGGCTGTGTGACATTCAGCAAGTTGTTGACTCTGTTTCCTCATCTGTCAAAGTAGGGGAATGGACTGGCCAGCCTCTGAGTTCTTACAGCTCTAAATCTGCATTACTGTGTGACAAACCGTCTTGGCCCTAGGAAAGAGATGAACTCCTCAGCGCCCTTCTTTCTTAGTGGAGGGCCAGGGGCCTAAGGGTACAGAATATGACAAAAATGTTGTGGTCACCTTGTCAGTTGGTTTTGTGTAGCTATTATTCTTTGTTTCAGGGGAGGGCTCACTTGTCAGAGGAGGATGAGGAAATTATATGCAGAAATGACTGCTGTACAAACACAAGACATCAATAATGTTTCTGTGTAAAAATAGAGAAAAAACAGAGATTGAACTAGGTAATCTCTAAGGCAGGGTTTCCCAATCCGAGAGCCCTGGGAGTTAGGTTGCAAAGGGTCCTTTTCAGTAAATGAGGAAAAAAAACCTAATGAATGAACCTGATTTGTTGTGCATGGGTACAGTTTACTTCTTTGTGTAACTGGCACATAAAATGTAACTGTTTTTGTGGATTTGGTTTATATACAATGGCTTTGGACAAACCTGAAGAGATGAGTTTTGTGGAAGTAGCAGGTGGTGCTCTGTGGTTTCATCTCAGCCAGTTCTCAGAGAGAATCATTTAGAAAAGTTTAGGGTCTATATAGATTCCTTATGCTGAAAAAAGTTACTTTGTATTGTGAATTGAACATTTCTTCCGTGGATATGAATACTTGGTAGCATTGAACAAAGGGGACTTACTATAAACCCTGTCTGGTACTATATATCGTCTAGCATTCGTCATCTCTCAAAAGAGAATTTTAAAAAATTATTATGCAGGGAGTTAAAACCTTTAAAGGGGAGGCAACACTGAAGGGTTGGGGGGTTTGGTGGGCCCCTGGTGCCATGGGCATGGGAAGGATCTTTGTTTTTCACAGTAAAAGGTGCAGCAACACGTGCTCATTACCTTCTTGGGCATTCCCAGAACTCACTTAGCCTCGGCACCATGTGAAAGGTACTGAGTACAGTATTTTAACCATTAGCAAATAAAACAACTCTTCCACAAACTCTAGTAACTTTGTCATCTTTACAATCTATAACATTTTCACATGTTCTTAAAAAAAGAATAGCTTGTCATCTTCTCCAATGTGTCATTTTCCAAAGCCTCAGTATCTTATCTCTAAATTGAAGTATTTTATTGCTCTCTGAAGTATATTAATTGCTCTCTGGTTTGATTGGTCCTGCTCACTCTGAACAAGAAAGGCGATGTTTAGACACATGCAGCCAAAGTGATGGGTGCCTATCCTGTCCTGCAGCCTCTGACTCTGCATTCAGCTCAGGAAACCCTTATTCTACACTTAGAGGACAAGGCACTCACTCCAAAGGAGCTCCCTCTACCCAGCCTCTTCTCAGCTTTCTCTCACTTCCTCATGATTGGAGTATTCCAAGGTACCTGAGGTCCTCTTATTGTGCATTGGTTGTAAGAGGCTCCAGCTCCCTTTGTCTACCCCAATATAAAACTCCACTCCCACTGATGCCTGCGGACCCTCTGGTGGCACAGCCTTGTCTGGACAAAGTGGACTTCCTGGGAGCACCTCTGTGTGTGGTTTGTATGTTATTTAATAAAGCTTATAATTAGAACAACTGAGTGTGAAAATGTGTTTCCTAGAATCACTGATTTAACTAGCCCAAGTGAACTTGGAAAGCCTCAGAGATCCTTGGTTATCATGGTTATTTCCATTCATGGGCATCTTCAAAATGCATGATTTCAGTATGACTTTGTTGTATTAGATGATGTCACTGTATGTTAGTGAATAGGGTGTGGACTGGTAAGTTCATTGCCATAGGAAACCCCTTCTACCAATGCAGGTGGGCACCTTCTCTGCACCTTACCCCAGAGCAGGGGGGTGGGGTTTGCACAGCTAGTATGGTGCAGGGACAGGACTGAATCAGACCTTTCTGTTCTCAAGGCTGGTGGCTTTCTGTCCCCTACTCCATGCTGCCTTTCAGATGCCTATTAGGGACATTAAAAATGAATCAATTGTACCTTCCTCTTCCTGAATTGAGGAGCCATTCTAAAACAAAAGCTACAGTTTATCAATGACATTTTCAACCTGAATATTTAAAAGTTGATATGACACAAGGTAGGTCGTGAGACACAGAGCCTTCCTTAAGCCAGGAAGACCTGGGCTCAAGACCTTGCTCAGACCATTCTGGCTTTGTGACTCTAGGCTGGGCACTTAAACCTCTCAGGGCTCCCTGGTAAATCTAGGACCCTGAAGTTGGAGACCAGTTGCTGATTTATCATTGCTTACTTACCTGGCCTGCCCTATACCAATGAAGGTATCATTTTAGGCTAAAAGAAAATGAAGACTCCCAACCCCCAAACCTTTCAGTGTTTATTTTTCACCTGGACTAATGTTTGAGGATATTCAGGAAATCAGTCAGCATTGCTTAGTATGTCTTAGCTGGATAAAGAAATGATTCCTTTAGAAATGCAGCACTTAACTCTTCCATTCAAATACTAAGTGAGCTGATACTGCCTCTTAATATGGTTCGTTTTCTCTTCCCTCCCACCCACCCATACTGAAGATGTTTTCCTTGTTCTTGCCTTTCTACCCTTTTCCACAGTTGGTTTCCATAATTGTTTTGAAGTAAGGAGGCTTTCTTTTAAACTTCCCACAGTGTCAGATATCACCAGGGCCTGTGAGAATTATTGACAAAAAAGACCTTGAACAAATCTCTTCAAGTCACCACCCCCTCAGTGCTGGGGGGAAAAAAATCCTGAAATCATTTCATCTGTAACATGACTGCCATTAATAGTTTACAGCAGATATTGATAAAGTGCCCACTCTTTATGCCCCAAATATTTTACCAATTTTGTAGACATTTTGAATGGTATTTCCACTTATTATTTCCTTTTTATTTTGTTATACTATGCAGTACAGAGAAATGCTGTTGATTTTTGTGGGTTTATTTGGTAAATTTCTACGTAATTCTATGCATTTCTTGGCTCATAGCAAGCAGCATAAGAAAATGAGAAGATAGGATGTTGTTCTTGCTATCATATAGGCTTTAGTAGAAATGTATCTTTTTTAATCAGATGTAGAATTGATTGTGAAAACAGCAAAGTGATATAAGAAGTTGGTGACAGGTAGCATCAAGGAGGGTTTCCATGAAGGATGGCATTGAGGGCCAGGCCTTGGAGGATGAGTAGAATTTCAGAGACAAGGGGAAGGCATGCTTCTCTGGAAATCAAACATTGTTCCTGTTATTTTCTGTAACCTTATTCTGTATTTCATATAACAACCTAAGCCTCTTCTTTGTTTCTCAAGAGGTTCATGAGTTTAAAAGTTCTGTGTTCCTCTCTCAAGGTAGATGTCAAAGTTTTGTCTTCCTATCTATAGCTTTTTTAATTAAAGAAAAACTGAGCTAGGTTTAGAGGTTCAATACACTTATAAAAACTTTAATTCTAGGGGAATTGTTATCTTAGCAATACCTGCAAATCACTTTGTGCCAAGGAAACTTGTTATCTCTCATCACTTTAGCTCCTGAGAAAGTCTGTGACATCTGTCTGCTATCCTTGAGAACACAGAAGCCGACCTGGCCCCATCTCACTCAGGGTCTAAAGTGATATTCCTAGACACTGGTCAGTATATCTGCTTGATGAGTTCCAGTGGCTTCCTACTACCCAATCAAATATAAACTCTGTAATTTAAAAACCTTCATAACCTGATTACAACCTATCTTTGTAGTTTTAAATATATTCTCCTTCTTGTACTCCATTGTTGAGAGAAATTTATCTTTTGTTGTTCTTCACACAGGATACTTCATTTCCCACCTTCCCACCAGCCTTTCCATAGGCTATGGCCATGCCTGGGACAAGGTAGTTGCTTAATAAATGCTTGTTGGCCCACTAGTTGCCATTGATGATTGTAGCAGTGTTTTAATGATGTCTATTGGCCAGAAGAGATATTAAAGGTTTCTGAAATACTTAGGCTGAACAGGGAAGAATAGCTCAAGGACAGCATTATATTGTACCATACTTTGATATTACAGTCTGAGTCTGCCATGTCATGTCTACCTCCTACTAATAAATTGCAAATTATTCCAACTTTAATTTTATTTGGTTTTTACCTCAAGTAACAGCTCATTCCAGCTCAGAAAAAGGCAGCAGAATGAAGCCAAATGAAATGGTGGATTTATATTAAGTAAGTTGTATTATCATTGATATTATACTAAACTGATAGTCTTTGGCTGACAGCTCTTTCCATGTCGCAGATAAATTTAGTATTTTTTAACTGAGGTACTTTTTAAACTATTGGTTTCCTTATGGTAGTTGATTTATATTAAATTTCTGTATGAAATTGCTATAATTGGTGTCAATATAGTTATATTTATTATTTTATTTTTATTATCAACAATTTGTTTAAATAGTTTGGGAAATAGTTCGGATTGACTTGTTTCAATTTGTCATTTTTTTCCCATTAATATTCTTCTTTACCTATCCTCAGCTTAGAGCCATCTGCAAATTTAGTAAGCCATCCATGTCTTTATCTAAGTCATTGGGGGATTAATCCCTAAGACCAAAATAAAATCTTTCAATTTGGGATCTGTTGATACTAAGTTGGCTCAAGGATGTAACTTTTACACATATTATTTGAGGTATACTTTCATAATTTCCATAAACAATGGCCAAAGAAACTATTAGATAAGAATCATTCTTTATAAAATAAAGCTCTAAGCCCCTTTCCTTAAGTCTGTGGTACTTTCCCAAACTCCAAGTAATTACATTATTATTATTCCTTTTAAACAAAACATACCCAATTAAATTCTTGATAGTTTTTTTAAACTGTAATGGCAACAATCTCTATTACTTTTCTAATGACACAATTGTATTCTCTGAATGTCAGTTTTCAAATTAACATTTCTTATACAATGATTTTCCCAAAAATCACAACAAGAAAAATTAGAAGTCTGACAATAACAAACAATATTGTGGACTTTTAAAACATAATGCAAAACTTTTGCCAATCAACATCAATTTGATTGAATGCATTTCTGAGTCATCTTATATGGCAAATTACTTCATTTGTCAATGTGACATGCTATACTAATAAAATTTAAAAAACCAGTATAGAGAACTTTACACAGTTTCTAAACCTATCGGTATAAGACCAAATATCAACTGTATTTTCCATCAAGTCCTGATCCATCTATAGAGGATCAAACATGACAAATTTTTTAATAGGAGAACATGCCTAATTTTAAACAGGACTACATTCTAATTTAGCTTTAGAACAAACTCAATCAAATTTGGATTTACTATTACAATTGATATTCAAAATTGCAATTTTCTCAAGGGTCATTAGTTGCCTGCTCCTCAACTTATAGCGCCTACTCCTTTCAGTTGGCTCCCTTCCAAAGACTGATGGAGGCAGTCCCTAATTCTCTTTTCCTCTTAAAATATTCTAGCGTTTACAAAAATCTTCAAACCATAATTTGGAAATTTACAGCAAAGATATTAAATTTCATGACATATTTAGTTTCTAATTAGTTTATACTGCCACAGATTTCTACCAACCAGGAAAACATTTTCTTTCTTTGCTTGTCTATCTTTACCTCTGTACCATCAACCTAGCCAAGGCTGAAATGACAGAGACAGAAGGTATTTTACATAGTTATTTTTTTCTTTCCTAAAACCTTATCTCACTAGAAGTTTGCAGAAAGATTAAAAAATACAGGAAGAGAAAAAGGGAGAAAAGACAAACAGATAGAGATAAAGATACAGATATCTGCTGAAAGATTACTGACTGAATTAACAGATGAAAGATCTGTCCCTAAAACCCTTAGTTGATCAATCCAATAAGACTATTCATTTGCCAATAAGGGTTGGTAGGCTAATTCTAACCCTACCTTAAGTGATTTTCTGGTTTTGATAAGATAGAGTGAAAGCCAGTTACAAAATGGAGTGGATATGGTGTGAAAATCAAGAGAACCATCAGATTTGTGATGTTTGAAAAGATTCAAGAGTCACAGTTTCTGGGTAATTTAATCATTTTATTAATAAGGCCAGCAGGTTATTAATAAAAGGATGGTCATTTGGCTGTCTCTCTTAGACCAAAGACTATTATGGAGGTGGGCTCACAGTTTATATACCCTTCGAAGCAGTGAGGGGCTACTAGTGACATCATGTCCCTCTTGGACAGAGAAATTATCCTACTCAGACCACCTGCAGTCTTGGGCTATCTAGACAAAATTATAACACAATGGGCTTCCCTAACTTAGATTAAATTCCTTGTAAGGTTGGATGGAGTCTGACCAAAGTCAGGAGAGTTAATACAATCTCATTATCAGTAACATCCTTCAAGAAAATAACTTTTTAAAATGAGGAATTTAGAAAAAGGGGAGACCTGTGAATCTCCCCAAAATATTGGTTATTAATAATCATTTCTCACATTCACCCGTTTGATTCTATTGAGAGGCATGGCCTCCTTAATGAATCACTAACCGATAATGACAAACACTTCATCAAGAGTTTCTAAACATGGGAATTATGAGGGGAGACAATGTGAGAGGAAAAGGGGGAAGGTGGACAGGTGCTTTGACAAAATTAAAGGAGGCAATCCTTTTTGTTAAGTAGACCTTACAGATAAAAGGCACAAAGGGAAAATGTAACCAGCAAAATAAAATTCATAGCTGTGTCTCTGTTCCTCTAGAAACATCTGATGCAGGGCTGTGGTTTGGGTGTGGTCTCAGAGCAGTTCTTCTCTGACTCAGGTCACTTGTAGAAATTTTCTTCTCTGCTAAATTTTTCTATAAAATTGATCTTAACACAAATTTAAATTTACTTTGCCAATAACCAGGTCAGATAATGAAAATTAGCTTAAACCTTATATCTCTACTATTAGAAAGTAAAATTTGAAAACTTTTAGACCAGGGATTGCACAATTTTAGGTTATCCAATTGTCATGTTGATGTAGGAAACTCAGATACAAACAGAGAATTAGAACCCAATTTTTATATTTGGCTTTATTCATTCCTCCATTAGGAGGATGAGATTCTGCTAAGGAATTAATAACAACACTGTTTATAAGAAGATGAATTTTAATACAAAAATGAAGTCATTTAAAAGTTGCCAGATTAATTTCAGTTGTAACAAAAGGTTCTGGGATAGGATATAGAAATACATTGAGTAATCAATTTTTAAAACAGTGCATATCAAGTTATTTATAATAAAAACATTTTCAACTTCTAGCCACATTCAAAGGAACAACTCTAACAAAAAGTGGATGTTTCTTCAAAGCATTTACAAGATAGACCATGAGCCATTCTTATTCTAAGATAATTAATTGTATTGATATTCCTTTCCTTAACACAGAACTGAGACAGTTATGATATTCACTAAATAAGAGAATCATTCCGGTTTCACAAGTCTTTGCATCATTTGCCTATCATATGCCTAATTATTAATATTGATAAATTAAAGGACTTTAACTTGCACCGGGATATATACCTAATAACAGATGTCAAGGCTAAATACTTAGGACTAAAATTCTAGGCCAAATAGCTCAAATCTTATACCTGCATCTTATTATAGTAACTCAGATGTGCTCCAGTATTAGCCTATAAGATAAAGATTTAATATTGTATTCATATTGATGATCTAACATGATTATAGATATTTACCATAAAACAAGAATAGGGACACAACTATACAATAAGGGAATAATGCTTTCCCAACTTCATGTCAATTCCAGGCAAAAGTTATGTAGATAGCCAATTGCATTGAGCCATGTCATATTGGGGAAATTGAGTCAGGATAATCCTACCTCAGCCCATGCCAAGAGTCATTCTCCCAGCCTTTTTCCATGAGAACTCCACCTGCAGTGCATGCACATAAAACCCCATAGAGTTGCTGGCATCATGGATCATTGGCTCAGTGGCATTCCTTGATGATCATACTTGGTATCAGACTCAGAATAATATCAGTTAACAATCCTATAAGGTCTTAAATAGCAAGTTCCAATAATCGGAGCTTCAGGTGGATTCAGCTCTCATAAGAAGTAATGATTATACTCTCACATTGGTAACAGCGATTCATCACAGAAAAATCACATCTTATTTTGACATTTGTACTCATGGTAAATAGATGTTTTACACAAATGATTTTGCTTTAAGATTCTTAATTACAAAAGATGGGATGGGATGTGTAAATATAATAATCCCAAATTGTATACAGAGAACAGATTACATGAAGTATTGCCTATAGTAAAACATGGTCAGTTATTAATCATGTTCAAATTGACATAATCACAGACTACTGCTCTCAGAATCCCTTTAAACAATGGGAACATCTTTAAGGCAACTCTTAAGTAGTTTGCATGCATTTCTACATATGTTCTAATTCCAGATTAAATAACATAAGTAAAATTAGATTTCTGATTAGAGTGACAAAAGGTAGCTCATAAGCTCATAACTCTTCACTAACATAACTGTACCGAAATCCTATTCCTTAAAAGAAAAACAAGAGGTTCCTGACTTTAACCTCACAACTTAATAAATTTACATCTTTGTTTCACAAGCTTCTCTACCTTTGTCTAATTATATCATAGCATTTTGAAAAAGTAAGATACTTCAGGGAATTGAATCTTATACATACAAGTTCAAGCACTAATTTAACTCATGCCATGGAATGACTATAAATTCACATCAAACTAACAAGATCTTTCCCATTTGCAGCTTATTATAGTAATTTAGATGCTTTAGTATTAATCTAACAACAAATAGATCCAGTATTGCAATGGCAAACTTCCACTTTGTCTACCCTAATAATAGAAATTTGTTATATGCAGGAACATGGTTATAACAGCATCAAAACTGGTACGTAAGGCCTATACCACCATAAGTAGCCTAGTATACGGAACCAGGTGAACAGATTTCTTGTATGAGGAAAATGAATTAAGAAGAGTTCAACCTTAGCCTTGAATCTCAGATGTTGCTTCCATTGAGAGCCCATTTAAGGACATTCAAAAGACATAACAAACCTAGTAATGAAACTCAAAGAATATTTAGGCTCTCCACCCAAAAAAAGCTTTTTCCACAAACTTTAAAGCCTCA